TTCCCGACCAATGTCTGTCCGGCCGCAGTATCCACCAGCGCGTGGGTGCCTAGCTCCTTCAGCGTGATCGTCGCCAGCGTGGGATCAGCGTTCAGATACCTGGCGATCTTCCGGCCCCAGTCCGTGACCTCGGCCTCCATCACCACGCCCAGCGTCACGAACGAGTCCCCCTCCTCGTTCACGAAGGAGTAGGAGAAGCCCGAGATGGGCCTGGCCGAGCTCCGGTCCTTCTCCTTGGCCAGGCGGTCGGACTTGCTCATGTAGGGGTTCTTGCATTGGTCTGCCCAGTGACCCCTTCTGGCCGCAGTTGGCGCAGCGACTCTTTTTCCGAAAATCCTTCTCGCCAACCCTGCGGAAGCCGGGCCTGGTGGCTTTTCGCTTGTCAAAGAAATCCCTGTCCGTCTTCTTTGCCAGCTTCAGCTTTCTGGATTCTGTCCACGTACGTCGTCGCTCCTTTCCGAATCTCTCCTCCAGGACAGCTCCGAAAACTTCTAGCGTCTCGAACTCGTCCAGTTCTTGATTATCTATGGCGGCCAGGAATGCCTCGGCGTCATTCTCGGGGAGCTCGATCTCGTCGTCGTCGGGATCCTCGGGCTCTGGCGATGCTCTCCCCGGCCTCGAAAGCGAGTCGCTGTCCTCCACGAAGGTCTTCGCCACCTGAGGCGGCACTGAGGGAAGGGTCAGCTTCTCCGTCACATCCAGCTGGAGGAGAGCCCCACGAATCGAGACTGCGTCCAGCTTCCCGCCCGCCAGCGTCCTCATATTGATTTTGTTCTGGGGCGTCAGATTGGCCCCCTCCTCCAGGAAACGAGCACGAACGTTGTCTGGGAGGACCAGTCCTCTCGCCTCAGCCTCCGTTAGCTGGGCATCTCGGCGCAGCACGTAGTCCGTGAGAGACTCTCCTCGTCGGATCATGTAGTCAAACAGCGCGTGCGAGTGAGCGATTCTGTCACGATCGCCCGGCCTCTCTCCGTTGAGAACGCACAGGTGAGCTATCAAGTTCTCGATGCCATGATCGTTCTCGAGAGTAGCTCTCACCGTTTTGAACTTGAGCTGCAGCTCCACGGGGAGGGTCTCGATCACCCGAGGGGCCTGAGAGGATAGAGCGTGTCCTGTTCTCCTGGACCACGCTCGAAGATTCTCCGAATATAGTTCCAGGTGCTCCAGGCCGATGAAAGGGGGGGGGTCCGTAGTCCCGAGTGCGCTCCTCTGGAGATCTTCCTGCTTCTCTCCAGTCGGCGTTCCACCCGCCCCGCGCGTCATAGGCCCAGGCCTCCTGCTGCCATTGAGACCAGGGTGCAGACTCCCACGAAGATTCCCAAGGTTCTTGTCGCTCCCTAGCTCCTTGATCCCAGGGGTCCTCCGTCTGCACATCAGTCTGTACTGCAAAATCTCTCCGTCTTCCTTGGGCGTCGTCATCATCCGTCGGCATGCCGACGGCCACGAATGCCAACACCAGGGCACCAAGACTCAGGGTGCAGCCGCTGTCGGACTAACGCGTCGTCTCGACCACAGACCGCTCGTCACCACGAGCTCCGCTTACCACTGTCAGAGGGTCGACGGGCCAATGGAAAGACAAAGGGCGAGTGTGGAGATAAACTTGTTTATCGAAAGGCCTCGCCCGTCCTCTCAGCGACTCCTCGGAGTCACATCCTAAGCCAAATTGGCTATATATACCGCAGGAGAACACGGAGGGAAGGGGGGGAAGGGGATCGGAGAACGCACCCCAGGGAAGCATGGGATGACAGGGCCGCCGCCGCTGGCCCCGCGCCGCCGAGGCAGGCGCCCGCGGGCTGGGCCACCCCCGCCGCCACGAGGCCCGGGAGCCATCGGGCGCTGTGGGCCGCGCGCCAGGGCCGGCGGCGCCGCTGCTGTCGCCGCGGGCGCCCGCGGCCAGGGGGGGAATCGATTCAGACCCTTGTCGTCGCACCCCCTGGCCGCCTGCCCGCGGCGACCCTTGCCGGCCGCGGCCGCGCACGCCAGCCCCGCCGGGGCCGGCGACCGCGCACGGCAAGCACGGGCCGCGGCTCCCCGCCCCGCGGCCCGCCTGCTGCAGGCGCCTATCGTTTGGACGCTCGGCCTGGCCGAAAAGGACCGAGAGGTCGTCGCGGGCTGCCGCCTCCTCCGCCAGAGCGGACCTTCGCCGACGGACCGGTTCGGGCTCCTGCGCTCCGGCTTCGTGGACGTCGTCGCCTGCCCGATCGACATCAAGTTCGGGGCCTGGGGGGACATGCTTCGGCCCGCCATCGAGTCCGTCGTGCGCAGTTGGATCGTGTCTCGCCAGGTCTGGCGCGTGCACTCCGGGACCCCCTGCGCTCCTTGGTCAGTTGCCCGTCGGGGTGCCAACGATGCGTCAGCTACTCGCGCTGCTCGGCGGTGCGCTCATGTCACACTTCGCCTCCTCCGACTGTGCGTTCAACGCGGCGTTCGTTGGTCTCTGGAGAACCCGCGTGGCTCGCGTCTCTTCGCTTGGGAGCCTCTCCGTAAGTTCTTGGACGGGCACGCTCGGGTCTCAGTGGTGTACACTTGTTGTCGGTTTGGAGCTCCGTACCAGAAGCCTACTCGAGTGGTGTCTGACGTTCTGGAGTTGGGATCGCTGACAGACGGTGTTTTGGCGGCTACGCTCATGAGTACCTCCTGGGCAAGGTCACCGTCCGCGACCACCATGGTCGGCTCAAGCAGCACTGGCGCACGACCCTTGCTGGCGCCTACCCTCCGGGTGCCTGCCACAGCGCCGCCCGCGCGCGGCGCCGGCGGCGGCTTGGCGGCGGGATGGTGACCCACTGCTGCCCGGCCACTGGGAGGCTGAGCTCCGGCGCGCCGCATGGCTCGACCTCCTTGCCCCGTGCTGCCTCTTGCCGCAGCCCAGCGCCGGCTCAGGCTACAACAAGATGGGCCTGGTCGTCGGCGCCTCCGCGCTGGTCACGGGTGACAACAACCACTCGCGCGTCGCCAAGACCGGCCTGCAGGACGACACTGTGTTCGTCGACAGCCAGTCCCGGGTCGGCGTCGCGGGCGCCTTCGCGGCCTTGGTGCGCGCAGCCGGCGAAGCCTGACAGGGCCGCCTCATGTTTCTGCGCACCTACGCGAGCTACAGCCGCACGCTGAAGAAGGCGGCCGCCGCAGTCCGGCTGCCGTCCAAGGTCACGGCGCACCTCCCTCGGCACGGTGGCCCGTCGGAGGACTACCTGCGTGGCGCCCGCTCGCTTGCTGACATCCAGGCCCGCGGCAGGTGGGCCAGTGTCCGTTCTGTTCAGAGATGCCAGAAGAGCGGCCGTGCCCTCGCTTCCTTTCGTCGGCTCTCGACGGCCGTCAAGGCTGAGGCCAAGCGGGCTGGGGCTCGGGAGCTCCGCTTTCTTGCCTGAGCCTCGCGCTTTGTCCCCTGCGGCACCGTCACCGGCGCATGTTTCTTTTTCTTCGGCCTGCCAATAGAGTGATATGGGATTTGTACTCCAGCTGCATGGGTTCTTGGATTCAGGCTTGGCCAGACGATTTGATTGATTCAGGCGCCCGCCGAAGAGAGATCGAGCGGGCGCAGGTCTTCCGCGTGCTCGGCCAACCGCCTTCGCAAGTCACCGCGGGCTGGGGGCCCGAGCTCGGCGAGAGAAAAAAGAATGGGAGTCCTCGTCACGCTAGCTATCTTTTTCTCTTCAGGCCGTTGCCGCTCCGTCTCTCCATAGGGGCCCGCACTGGCAGGGGGGCCTTTAACAACTGCGTTGCATATGCTCGCGACGCTTGTGCATATGCTCCCCCCCTTCCGCTGCCTTGACTCCTCAAGCTTTTCTGCCGCCCCGCGCTGCCCGCCCTGGCACGCAGCTGGAGAGGCAGAGGCTCAGACAAGCTTGGACTATAATGATTCGGTTATTGAGTTCAGGTCTGGCCAGGCGATTTGATTGATTCAGGCGCCCGCCGAAGAGAGATCGAGCGGGCGCAGGTCTGCCGCGTGCTCGGCCAACCGCCTCCGCACGTCAACTTGGGCTGTGGGCCCGAGCTCGGCGAGGGAAAAAGGAATGAAATTCTTCGTCGCGCTAGCTACCTTTTTCTCTTCAGGCTGTTGTCGCTCCGTCTCTCCAGAGGGGCCCGCGCTGGTATGGGGGGTCTTTAACAACTGCGTGCTCTTGCGCGGCTCTTCGGTGGTCTTCCATGAGGCCTTCGCAGCGTGGATGTAGCCCCCGGGGCCACGTTGCCAAATGGGCAGCCATGCGGGGGGGTGGCCGTTTGACAGGGAGGCCCCCATGGCAAACGTGCAGGCCCAGCCAAGGCGGGGGGAAGGGTGTGGCTAGCGCATTTGGCAATGGGCCCCACTGTCAAATAGTTTGTTTGGGGGCCAGGTCTGGGCGGCCAAGTTAGTCCGATTATCGATTTGACAGCGGGGGCACATTGTCACATGGGCCATCGGGGAGGCAGGCCGAGGCGCGGGAGTTGAGCTCCGAATGCTCATGCGTCAGTGGGGGCCCACTGTCAATGGGGGGGGGGGGGCAGACGCAGGAATTGCGCTCCGATTGCCCGTTTGACCGCGGAGGCCACATTCAAATGAGCAGTCAGGGGGGCGAGGCCGAGCTCCGATCGCCCACTTGGCAAAGGGAATCCCATAGTCAAATGGGTCATCGGGGTTCCGGATTGCCCATTTTATCATGGGATCCCCATTGCCAAATAGCCGTGGCCGATTGCGCGTTTGACACTGGGGGTGCCATGGTCGAACGGGGAAAGTTCGCTCTGCACTTTCCGCTGCAATTTTGCTCCCCCCCCCCACACACACACACACACACACACCCACACACGCGCACACACGCACACACACACGCACAAACACACAAACACACAGACACACAAACACACAAACACACAAACACACAAACACACAAACACACACACACACACAAACACACACACACACACACACACACACGCACGCACACGCACACGCACACGCACACGCACACACACACACACACACACACACACTGTCCTGGGGGGATCGCGAGGGGGGCCGAAATCTCATGCGCCTTGACGACCCCGAAGGGGTCGACGGACCCCGCCACTACCGGCGCCCGAGGTCGTCGACAAGTCCGAGGCGGAGAAGCTGCGCGGGACGGTGCCGGCGCTGCTGTCTGACGCGCGGGCTTGGCATGAAGCGGCTGGCTCGCCTGGGTCGCTGGGCAAAGACCTTCGCCGCGCGGTGCGGGCCGCGACCTTGGGTGAGCTAGTTGATGGGGTTGAAGGGGTGCGCCGCCCTCCCGCAGGATACCTCGCCGAGATGGCCGGCCTGGCGATGTGGGTCCTTGGCAAGAAGCGGCCAGCACGCGGTTGATGCGCGCCCTCCTTGGCCGACGGGTGCGAGTGCACTGCTTCCGCCGCCCGCCGGCTGCGAGCTTCGCCCACGTCTGGCGTTGGCTCGGCGATCCGCGCTGCGGAGGCCGCTTCAGAGTCAACTTCGTCGAGGACCTGCTGATGCGCCTCGCGCTCTCGGGCCTTTGCGTGGCTGACGTGCGGCTCGAGGTCGACCGCCTGGTGACGGCGTCGGATGCTTCGGAGGCTGCAGGCGCCGTGGTCTACAGCGCGGCCCTCACCGGCCGCGGCTGCGCGCTGGCGGCGAGGCGCCAGCGGCCTGCCGACGCTGCTGCCGAGGAGGAGACCGCCTTGATCACCGTCTTCGACGGGATCGGCGGTGGTCGCAGGGCCTTCGAGATCCTCGGCTTGGCCCCCGCGGTTCACCTGTCGTTCGAGGTGGACCCCCAGGCGGCGCGCGCTGCGCTGCGCTGTTACCCTGGGGCCCAGACCCAGCACCACGGGGATGTGACGGAGGCGGACGCGCCCTCTTCGGCAGGCCTGCTGCGGGCGTGAGGCCGCATCACGCACGCGTTGGTCATCGGCGGTTTCCCCTGCCACGTGTGCGCGAGCCTCAACGTGGACCGCCGGGGCTCGTCGGACCCTCGAGTCTCCCTCGTCGATTGCATGGTCGAGCTCATCGGGGGTTTGCGGGCGGCCATGCCTGAGGCGACGGTTGACTTCCTGTGCCAGAACGTTGCTTCGATGGCTGAGTCCGACGTTATCCACCTCAACCGGCTCTTCGAGCGCGTCCATCTGGAGATCGAGGCCGGTGGCGTCGGCTGGGTCAAGCGGCCCCGCTTGTACTGGGCATCTTGGGACCTCCTGCCGTCGTACGAGGCCGAGGCTATCATGGTGGTGGCCAAGGACTCGTCAGCGCGCCGCGCGTGCCGCGTGGCGCTGAAAGCTGCGCGGCCGCCGCTGGAGGAGCGGCTGCCGGCTGGCGCGAGCTGCCCTGGCGCTGCCGAGGGTGAGCCGCTGCCGACCTTCGTCCGCTGGACGCTGCGCTCGCAGCCGCGCCCTAGGCCTGCGGGCATCGGCGAGTGCTCAGCTGCGGAGCTGGTGCGCTGGGAGGAGGCGGGCTTCGCGGCCCCGCCTTATCAGTTTCGTGGCAAGTGGTGCACTCACTGGCCTGATGGGCGGATCACGCCCCCCGATGCGGGCGCGCGCGAGAAGCTGATGGGCTTCGCCGAGGGTCGCACGGCCCCCTGCATGACGAGCAGCGAGGCGAAGGCCGACCCTAGGAAGTACGAGGCCTTGCGCCGCTCCTTGCTCGGGAACCCCTTGTGGCCTGGGTGGTGAGCCACTGGGCCGTTGCTGTCGGGCCGCTGGTAGCGGCGCCGTCGTTCGCGGAGCTGCACGAGAGCGCGCGGGCCTGGGCTGGCGGTCGCAAGCTGCGGGCAGGCGACGTCACCTCCTTGCGCTGCGGGCGCGTGAATGTCGACGAGAAGGTCTGCCGTGAGCTGCAGGTGGCAGGCGCCTCGCAAGAGCCCGTGAGCCCCCCCGGCGTCGTTTACGTCGGCCGCGGGTCGCGGAGCTGGCGCCCGGGCCAGGCAGGAGATCGACGCAGGCATCTGGCAATGGTGCAAGGCAAGGCAGTTGATTTGGGACGTCTCCGAGCATGTCAATGCACTGGAATGTCAAGGTGCTTTGATGATGATTCGATGGCGAGCTCGATCGTTGGCTCGGCAGCCAGTTCTCGTCGTCGAAGCTTCAAGATGGTCCGGATGGCAGACTCATTGCCAGATCGTTTGGGAATGGATTCCAAGGTAATGCAGAGGCCTCGCAGTTCCCTGAAATACCTTGCAATACCTTGCAACACAACCCTGCAGTACCATGCGCATGACCCAAGATCGCCCCAAGAGCGTCCCAAGCCTTCGTCGCCGTCGCCGTCGCCGTCGTCGTCGTCGTCGTCATCGTCATCGTCGTCGTCGCCGTAGTCGTCGCCGTAGTCGTCGTCTTTGTCGTCGTTGTCGTCGTCGTCTTCGTCTTCGTCGTCTTTGTCGTCGTCTTTGTCGTCGTTGTCGTCTTTGTCGCCTTGGTCGAGCTCGATCGTTGGTGGTGCGCAGCTTCTCTGCCTGGGAGCTTGCGATGGGCGCGTGGGCGGTTTTCGGGGTTACTTCTTCAGCTCGGAACCCCGTGGATGCCCCGTCGCGCCTGAAGGGTGGGGAGGCGGAGTCGCCCATCCGATCGTCGCACCGCCAGAGCTGGACTGGGGAAGCTGAGAGATGCTCGCATTGCGACTGCCACTCTTGCGAGATATCGTCGTGCCGCTCAGCAGTTTGTTGACTATCGCAAAGCCACGGGCCTGCCGTTGCCTTTCAGTTGGGAAGATATGGATATTACCCTTCAGGGTTATCTTGAGCACCTCTGGGCGGAGGGTGCTACAGAAGGTCAAGCTAACGATGCGCTGAGTGGAGTGCAGCACTTGTTGAGGACGCGCCAGCAGTGTCCTGGTGCGCGGCGGCTGCTGTCGGTCTGGGGCCGCTTTGAGCTACCTCAGCGCGCGCCGCCGACGCCGCCGCTGGTCTGCAGCGCGCTTGCTGGCTGGGCGCTAGGACGCGGTGAGATCGCGTTCGCTGCGACAGCGCTGGCAGGCCCCCACCTCTGCCTTCGGACAGGCGAGGCCCTCGGCCTCTCCAGCGGCGTCATCCAGCTGAAGCCTTGCGGCCGTGGCGCGATGTCGCTGCCATGGACAATGGCGGCCTGTCAGAAGGGGGCGCGGGAGACGGCGACGCTGGATTGCCCCGTCGTCGGAGCTGTTGTCATGCAGCTGCAACGGCGCAGCCGTTTGTGGCCGCGCGCTTCCCATGCCTTGTTTCGCACTGGCCTGCAGCAGATCGGCTGTGAAGATTTGGCCCCCGTCCCTTACAGTCTTCGCACAGGAGGTGCCACTCACGAATATTTGCTTTCATGTGACTTGTCTAAAGTCATGCTTCGAGGGCGCTGGAGTTCCATGAGGGCGGCAAAGATTTACATCCAAGATGGAGCTGCAAGTATTGCTGAGATGCGGTTCCAGCAGGGTACCCGTTCCTCTCTCCAGACGTTTCCAGACATTTTAGTAGCCCGCGTCAGGGCGCGCTGCAATACTTGAGGCCACTTGCGAGCTTCTTGGGATTAAAAGGTGGCTTTCAGCCATGTCTAGAACACAGTGGAGAGCTTTATCGGGAGCTTTCTCGAGGCTCGGGTGTTCGATGTTTCTCGGTCTCTCGGGTGCGAGTCTCCTCCCCTCTAGCCCGCGGCGTTCTGACCCCGGTCGCGAGACGGTGGTGCACGTGTGGATGCTGAGAATCCTGCTGCGGCTTCGGGGTGAGTCTCAAGGCTCGCACAGAGGCGTGCCGATCTTGGGAGGAGTAGAAGCTCTGTCAACAGATTTGGCCGATAAACGAGGGAGTACAACGGGGACAACAGCAGAAATCCCCGGCATCCCGCACACATATATACATCTCTCTCTCTCTCTCTCTTTCGCCTCCCGCGTCCGTTCGCTTGCCGTTTCGTTTGCCTCCCGCGTTCGCTCGCTTCCCGCTTTGGCTCGTCCCCCGCTTTCGCTCGCACTGGAGCGCGAAAGTGGGGGGCGAGCGAACGTACTTTGGGAGCTACTTGGGCAGGGAGATAGCAGGACTACGGATATGCTGACGCTGACGGTAAAGATGACAGTGATTGTCATGCTGATGACGACGACGATGATGATGATTATGCCGATGATGATTGACATGTTCACGATGATGACGGGGATGGCGATTACGATCATGGTGGTGATGCTGATGTTGAAGATGCTGATCATTCTGATGATCTTGATGCTGGTGATGATAATGGCGATGGTGGTTGTGATGCCGATGATGACAATGCTGGTGATGATGCTTGGAAGTGGAGGTGACGTAACACATTCTTACCCCCACGGTTCCCCAGGGCCGGGTAACGTAAAAAAACCCTGAATATCAAGAGCGAGCGGCAACGTAAAAGTCTCCGGGCACCACGGTTCCCAACAGAGAGCGGTGAAGTAACAAGGTCTGAACACGAAGGCTCCCAAAAACGAAAGGTGCCATGAGCCATGTCGGGCATGTTCCTGAAGCGATATTTCCGTTCCCGTGCCGACCCAGGTAAAGGAAGAATCTAAGTACGAACGATGGCGTTCCGCATAGACCGATACATGTATTTGCCGAGTTGCTTCGTGTCAAGAGTGCCTATTCTCGCGCTTGCAGCTTGACTAATTATTTACGTTTCTTCCATTGGACAAGTGACCTGTTCATAGTCCGAACTGTTGCAGTAACGTTTCTCGCTGTCTCGATTTATTCATATTCGCGATTGGTGGAATTGCGCTCGGTGCAAACATGCATTGAATATGTAGCCGATGCGCCCGAAAGGCAGCTCGAGTCCGTTCTGCACATCGGTCAGCGACGTATCCCCGTAGGCGTAGCCGTAGCCGTTGGCGTAGAAGTTGGATTGACGTTGCACAGTAGCTGTTCGGTACTTGTAATTAAATTGGCACCAGCACCAGCAGTGGTAGTATTAGTAGTAGTAGTAGTAGTAGTAGTAGTAGTAGTAGTAGTAGTAGTAGTAGTAGTAGTAGTAGTAGTAGTAGTAGTAGTAGTACTAGTAGTAGTAGTACTAGTACTAGTATAGTACTAGTACTAGTACTAGTACTAGTACTAGTATAGTAGTAGTAGTAGTAGTAGTAGTAGTAGCAGTAGTAGTAGTAGTAGTAGTAGTAGTAGTAGTAGCAGTAGTAGTAGTAGTAGTAGTAGTAGTAGTAGTAGTAGTCGTAGTCGTAGTAGTCGTAGTAGTAGTCGTAGTCGTAGTAGTCGTCATAGTCGTAGTAATCGTGGTATACGAACGAGGAGCGAGGAGCCGCGGAAGACAGGCGGAAGAGCGGGCACAGCAGGCCCCTGACGGCACAGAAAGAACGTTGGAAACCGCGGGGAAGGGCAGAAAAAAAAACACAGTTGGAAAACGCATCAGAAAGCGTAGGGAGGAGAGCAGAAAAAGAGGTCGATATGGAGTCGCAGCAAAGTGAAGAAGAACATCGGCGGTCCATATCGGTCGATTCCAATGCAAATTCCATTATCAATCATATGGTAAACATATTGTAATATGAAATTTGAGAGATCGACAAGGAAGAAAAATCCAAATGAGAGCATATTAGAAAAATAATGTTGATGGAATGTCGCATGAATTCTCCACCGTTTCCTGCAACATCGTTGTTCTGTGTTACCACTCCCCACGCCCCTTGTTGTGTTTGCATAGTTTCAATATTGCATGTTTGGTAGCCTCGATTGGTGTCAATTTTGCTCCATGTCAAGTTTTTTTGGTTGTGTACCCCGGCTTGCATCGAAATGTTACGTATTTTCTGAGCGATCGAATTGACAATATATGTTTGAAATTTGATCGATTCATCTGGTTGTCGTTTGCATTCTTGTTCTCAAACATCCCATGTATCAGCATTTTGTTCATGCGTCTGACATGAAGTTGGTTGTGTTTATCTTGCCCTGGCTACCATTTTCGTGTCGTCTAAGTTTGTGATGGTATTTCTGCTTAATTTCATTTAAAAATTTAGAAGACTTATTTATTTCTATTACCGTGGCCTGGCTGTCGGTTTGCGCCGGAGATGTTTGAGAATGCCTTTCCCGCTATATTTCAGAGTTCAAGTCGGAATGATTTTCTTTGTGTTCGCGAACGCGTTTGCCGAAAAAATAGTTTTGCAGTTGAGAAAGTTATGTTTTGTTTTGTGTCCAGTACGTGTTTTCGCGCGTTTGTTTCAGGGTTCCGGTGTATTCGTATTATTATTTTGGGGTGGGTTTGCGTCAGCTACCGCAGCTTCGTCGTATGATTTGGGTGTAATGATTTTTTCAATTGATTGGTCGATAAGAGGGGTGATCAAAGCAAGAAACATGGTTTGAGTTGTTGAATCAGTGATCCTAAGTTTCATTTGCAATTTGGAGTTGTTTTGAGGTATTGTGTGAATTCCCAGCAATATTGCAGTCAGAAGCTTGTTGCCCCAATTTAGCGGCCATACGTTTTGTTTCCACATGTTTGAGGGGGTGATTTTTAAAGGTTAAAACTCCCGCAAACATTGCCAGAGCCGTATTTTTGGCTTGCCTTCAGACGCATACCGGATTCTGAATTTCATCACCAGAGGCGAACATGACCAGATTATAATGGGACAATGCATCGCCGAGGTCAGCGTGCGACAATGTCTCCAGCGAAAATGGCCTGGACACTCCTGCTCCAGGGTCACACCGGAGTTCAGAGTTGCAAGGATGTCTTAAGCGAAAACGGC